CTGATCCTGGAGTCCCTGGATTGAGTCCAGCACTGGGCTCCCTGCATGGGGCCTGCTTCTCCCTCTGCCTGTGTCTCTGCCTCTCTCTCTGTCTCTCATGAATAAATAAGTAAAATCCTAGAAAAAAAAAATTAAGTGAAAAATGCCAGCCACAAAAGACCACATATTGTACTTGTTTACATGAAATGTCCAAAACAGACAGATGTATTAGACACATTAGATCAGTGATTGCTAGGGGCTGGGTAGAGAGAAGAAGAATGGGGAGTGAATGCTTATGGGGTGATGTATATATTCTAAACTTAACATTGCTGTGGAGGAGGGGCGCCTGAGTGGTTCAGTAGGTTAAGTGTCTGCTTTTGGCTCAGGTCATGATCCCAGCATTCTGGGATTGAGCTCCATGTTGCGCTGCCTGCTCAATGGAGAGTCTGCTTCTCCCTTTCTCTCTGTCCTCCCCCTGCTCCTGCTCACTCTCTCTCAATTAAATAAAATTAAAAAAAAAAAAAAAAAGACTGTGGAGGTGGCTAGACAACTCTTTGATTATACTAAAACCACTGTATTGTACAACTTAAGTAGATGACTTTTATCATTAAAAACAAACTAACAGGCAGCCGGGGTGGCTCAGCGGTTTAGCGCCACCTTCAGCCCAGGGTGTGATCCTGGAGACCTGGGATCGAGTCCTGCATCAGGCTCCCTGCGTGGAGCCTGCGTCTCCCTCTGCCTGTGTCTCTCTCTCTGTGTGTCTGTCATGAGTGAATAAATAAAATCTTTAAAATAAATAAATAAATAAGCCAAGTCTCTTTCGTCACAGTCATGTACTCCTTTCACCAGGAGAACCACTCCCTAGGTGGATAACTGCAATCACATTACCAGCTGGTTGCAAAAAAAAAGTATTACAATTAGATACTAAGTGATAATGGCCTACAAATAAGGTGTTACTGTAATACGACATAACAGTGCCCACTAATCTTTCCCACAGCCTCACTTAAACTGAGTTAAAAGAATAGTTTTAGGGGTTACCTGGCTGACTCAGTAGCTGGCTACCCGTGACTCTTGGTCTTGGGATTGTGAGTTCAAGCCCCACATTGAGCACAGGGCTTACTTAAATAAAAAGAGTAGTTTTATGTTATGATCCATCAAGTATGGGAAGGGATCCATTTATCTCAATTTACCAGAGACCTTGTCTTCTAATGATATCTGTTCATGCCTAGTTCCTTTTCATTACATATATTTTCCATCTAAATGATTATTCTTTTTTGGTCTACACATGTCAAAACTACTCCCTAGTAAATTTTAGCTTAACCGAAGAAGTATCTCCCTGTGTCCAGACATCATCTTCATATCAAGAATGCATGGGGGGGGGGCACCTGGGTGGCTTATTGGTTAAGTGACCAACTCTTGATCTCAGAATCCTGAGTTCAAGCGCCAAATCGGGCTTCATGCAGGGTATGGAGCCTACTTTAAAAAAAAAAAAAAAAAGCTTACAGAGATCAGGGTATCAGTGTGTGTAAGAGAGAGAGAGGGAGAAAGAAAAAAGGGGAAACCAAGAGGTTGGGGAGAGAGAGAGGGAGGGGAAAAGAGAAAGGACAAAGAACTGAAATCTCAAAACGACCACAAATGTGGAACCCGTAATTCCATTTCTTTTTGGGAAAAATTCCTAGGGTCTTAATACCTATCATGTAGATAATGCTTGAGTCCCACAGGTTTAGGTATACATGTGGCTAAGGTATACGTGTGAAGACAGAAACACACATCAACATCGAGCACACATCTCCACAACGAGCACACAAGTGCCACACTGGGCAAAGGGGAGGGTCCCCAAAGAATGTGTGCTCCCATAGGGGTTCAGATTTCACCTTTCAGCTTCTATTTTCCCTTCTGGTTATTAGGGGAGCCTATGGAGTCAAATGCTGGTGAGCTGCTGCTGATACTTCAGGGCAAAACCTAACTGTTGTGGAAAATACTGATGCTTTTTTTGTACTTTACAGTGCCGCTGGGATAGAAGGTTGTTTAGAATCAAAGGGCATTGTGGTTTTGGAATGAAGCACTGGAAAAGAATGTTCTTTTGCAAAAAAAAAAAAAAAAAAAAAAAAACACTTCACAGAAAGATATAAAGTGGACATCTTCAATGGGTAGTATAAAGGAATATTTTATTCATTCAATTTTGGTATCAGGCCATACTCTGAAAAGTTGGTGAATCTCTGGGTATACAGTCAAGTTGAATCTCTTCCTTTCAGTTCCTAAAAGTGTGCTATTAATACAAAACTCAATTATTTCCTCAGGCATAAAAGAGAATCAAAGAATAAATTCCAGAGCACAACTATTAAAAAGATGATGAATCAAAAAAACACAGAAACTTTTATTCTAGCTACTTATTAATAAAAACCCTTACTTTCCTTCACAGAGAAACTCAAGTTTTCTAAAAGCATGCTTTTAGAAGAACTTTTCAGAAGTGTAATGAGGGAAATACTTAACTGTTGCAAACGTAAGAATGTGATTGAAGAGTTAAATGTTGAAAACCTAACTGATCCTACCTTAATCCTTCAAAGGTAGACCAGTCCCAGAGGTAAACTGAAAGAAAGTATGTTGAAATAAGCTATTAGGGAAAGGAAGTCTCTAGTAAATGAAACTTTTTCCACCCTGAACATGTTTATAACACACATAGTCCAGTTGCTGTGGTGACCCACAGAGCCCAACTGTTTTTTCAGAAACAGCAGCTAAGACCAAAATACTATGTCTCCAAATTCAGTGTGCTGCTTCAATAAGACAAAACCAAATTATAGATCAAGCCTAGTTTTGAATTAAGATCATCTTCGTTCTCGGGGCACCCGGGTGGCTCAGTGGACGAGCCTCTGCATTGAGCCCAGGGCGTGACCTCGGGGTCCTGGGATTCAGTCCCACAGGGGGCTCCCTGCAGGGAGCCTGCTTCTCCCTCTGCCTCTGTCCCTCTGCCCGTGTCTCTCTCTCATGAATAAAATCTTTCAGAAATAAAAACAACAAAATCATCGACGTTCTCAAAAAGCGACCAGGAGTCTCTTAACTGTACAGTACCCTACGTCAAGAAAATATTGAAAGTACAGCCACATGGCAGGAAAACTTGAAGACAACGTTTCCCTAAGAGTGTAACAGATTTCACTTGTGCAGGTTTTTTTTTTTTAAAAAAAAAAAGATTTTGGGATCCCTGGGTGGCGCAGCAGTTTAGCGCCTGCCTTTGGCCCAGGGCGCGATCCTGGAGACCCGGGATCGAATCCCACGTCGGGCTCCCAGTGCGTGGAGCCTGCTTCTCCCTCTGCCTGTGTCTCTGCCTCTCTCTCTCTGTGTGTGACTATCATAAATAAATAAAAAATCAAAAAAAAAAAAAAAAGATTTTATTTATTTATTTGACAGATAGAGCGTCAGAGAGCACAACTGGCTGGGGGTGGGGTGGGGGTGGGGAGCAGCAGAGGGAGAGGGAGAAGCAGGCTTCCCGCTGAGCAGGGAGCCCGAGGGCCCTGGGATGCCTGGGGTCGTGACCTGGGCCATCCAGGTGCCCTCACTTTAGCATGTTGGTGTTCAAATAAAACCAAAGAGCAGGGAATTCCTGATGGGGAGGTGGTGGGGCGGGGGGAGCGGGGGGGGGGGGGGGCTGAATCATAGGTCTCCTCGATGAAGACATCACTAACTACGAAAGCACCAAGTTTTCCGCACAGTGGGGCGGCGGCTGGGAGCCGGCGGGGGGTGGGGGGGGGGGGAGAGGCCCTGATCCTGATCCACCGGCGAGACGCGCCAGCGACTGCAGCCCTCCCGGCAATGCCCTGCACTGCAGAGAGCAACAGCCTGGGGAAAAGCCAACCGTGTATTTTCCGACTACTTCAGCCAAGGAGCAACACCCCGCGTCTCCGGCCGAGGCCAGCTACGGTGCCGCCCCCTACAGCGGCTTCGATCGAGCCTCGCCGCAGCTGTGCGATATAAGCCAAAAGCCGGGGGGGGCTCGCGGGCGAGGAGGAGGACACGAAACGAAACTCGACACCGGATGAACAGCGAGCGTGGGGGGCGCAAGAAACCCGGCGCCCGCGCGCCGCGAGCAGAAGCAGATCGAAGTCCGGGGAGGAGCCGGACCTCCTGCGGCCTCGGCGAGCCCCGAGTTACTGTACTTCCGTTTGCCGACTTCCTGTCACTACAGAGAATCAGAAGTCGTCCCCCCTCCCCCCCCCCGCCCCGGTGCCCCTCGGGACGTCGCGGGGCGTAAGCAGCGGCGAGGCCGGGCCCGCGCGCTCTGCCGTCCACCTGCGCGCCGCGGGGCCGGGGGGCGGGGCCGGGGGCGGGGCCGGGTCCCCGGGGAGCGCGCCCGCCCCGCCCCCTGCCCCGCCCCCTGCCCCGCCCCGCCCCCGCCGCCACGCTCACTTCCTGTTGTGCCGCCTGCTCCCCCCACCCGGCCCGGCCCGAGGCCCCCCAGCTCCTCGCGGCGGGGGCGGGGCGGGGCGGGGCGGCGGCCGCGAGAGTCCGCGGGGACGCGGGGTGCACAGGCGCGCGAGGCCGGCCGCTCACCGAGGCCGCGCGCGGGGCTCCCTCTGGGTCTCTGCCTCGAGCGCGATGCTTCTCTCCGCCCGCCGCCTCCTCACGCTGGGACCTCGAGGGCGGCGCGGCGGCCGCTGCGACCCCCGCGGCGGAGCCGGAGAAGGCGGCGGCGGCCAAGCCGAGCCCGCCGGGTGCCCGCAGCCGCCCGCATCGCCAGCCGCCGCCGCGCCCGCCGCGGCTCCTCGCGCCCCGCCCTCCCCGCCCCCGCACGCGGCGGCGGCGGCGGCGGCGGCGGCGGCAGCGGCAGCGGCAGCGGCAGCGGCGGCGCGGGTCTTAGGGCCGCTACCCGCCGGGCGCGCGCTCGGGGCGTTCCTCGCCGGGCCCGGCCTGCCAGTCGCTCCGCGGCCGCCGCCACTCTCAAACCCCCCGGCGACGTCGGGGCCCCTCCCGGCGGCGCGGCCGCTTCGCGTCACTTCCGGGGGCGGGGCGGGGCGGGGCGGGGCGGGGCCGCCAGTCGGGGCCTCCCGGGGCGGGCGTGGGCGCGGCGGTGCCCCAGCGCCCAGGCTGCCGTCCGCGGGGCGGGGGCCCGGGAACCGCCTCCGTGGGCGCTCAGTCGTCGCCCGAGGGCTTCTCTGTCCTGGGCCACCAGTCCCGGCTCTTCCGCGGCCGAGTGCCCGAAGCCGCCGGTTCCTCCGCAGCCTGCTCATCCCGAGCGCCAGCCCCCGGGACGCCACGAACCCGCCCCCGCGCCCCTCCCCCATGAACGTCGGTCAATGGTCCCTTAGCGCCCTGGCCCGGGCAGTGACGGGAGCCGTCAGACCTGGAGCCCAGCCGCGGCTTTGCGCCTCACCGTCTGGGAGGCCTCAGCTTTCTTGACTGCCCAGAAGTTCCATCATCTGTAAAACGGAGAGAAGCCGGAGGCTCAGGGTTGCGAGGATTGGAGCGGACCCGGTGCCGAAGTCACCCAGCAGGGTCTGCGGCGCACCCAGGCTCTAGATGGGGGCCCTCAGGAGGGGGCACACGGGGTACCGAAGACTGCGGGGGTAGGTTAGCAGCAGAGGGGTGCGCGGCCGGCCGGGGCCCGGAGCGCTGAGCGACGCCTCCGAGAACTGGCTTCCCGGTCGCCGCCTGCAGGAGACGGAAGGGCCGGGGTGTGGGTCTCCCGTACTGGGGCCATTTAGTCCCTGTACGACCCGCAGGCAGTCGCTGCCCCTCTCTGCACCTCAGTGCCTCGTGCCAAGGGGAAGGGGACCACGTTCGTTCAGCGCCGCTGGAACGAGATAAAGCCCGCAGCGTGCTTCGGGCGCTTCCTGGCACCCCCGGTAAGTGGTGACGTCATTGCTTTTTATCTGCAAGACTCCGGCGCCCTCGGCCTCCGGTGTGAAAGGTTTCCGTTTCAGAGACAGGAAGAAGGATCAAGGTAGGCTGTTTAAGATGCACCCTTGGAAACGTTTGTTTATAGGGATATTTCCTCCTAAGCCTCAGGCCAGACGCAGGTTAAGGGTTGCGGAGCTCCGCTAGGCTGCCCTGCTCCGCCCAAACTGGCAGGAGACCTCGGATGCGGCCCCAGGGTCCACGGAGGCATCCCCGCTGCTTTAGAGGAGTTGACAGTCTTGCCGATTGCAGTTTATTTTTGGGGAAAGAGCCTACTTCGGGAGTTCTTGAATTAGTCATAGCGAGCCTGTGTTTTTAAGTTGACTTTTAAAAAAGATAAAAACAAAAAAAAAAGCAAAAAAAACAAAAAAAAACAAAACAAAAAAAATAGATTGACTTTAAAACACGCACACGCGCGCACACACACACACAGGACATGTTGACAGCAGAGACACTAAAAGGAAAGTCAGTTTCAGATTAGTGAACTGGGGAAAAAAGTTTATTGACGTGCCTGGTTTTCCCACTCAAGATTCTTAAAATATAGAACCTCTCTCTCCGCCTTCCATCACACAACAGATGGTGGTTTTTTTGCAACCGCCACGGGTGGCTGTGTTGCTTTTTTGTTACCTTGTTTGGTCACTTTCTTACTTGATAGATTTCGAATCCTAGTCTTAGCGACTCGGGGCTGTCTCAAATGAAATTTGCGGATTTTATCTAACTTTAATACATGTTTTTCTGCCTGACCTGGCTCTCGATTGTGTTTTTCCGACCGTTTTGGTTATCCCAACCCTGCCACCCTTATTCCCCTCATGTAATTACATTTCCTTTCTTTCCTTTTTTTTTTTTTTTAAGATTTTATTTATTCATAAGAGATAGAGAGAGGCAGAGACACAGGCAGAGGGAGAAGCAGGCTCCCTGCAGCCTGATGTGGGACTCGATCCCAGGGGGATCACGCCCTGAGCCAAAGGCAGACGTTCAACCGCTGAGCCACCCAGGCGCCCCTGTAATTACATTTCCTAACCCAGTAACACCTACTTAGGATTATTTCTTCTTGAAGCAACTTCCCCTTGCCTCTCTTCAGTGCTGCTGCCTCATCATTACCCCAAATTTGTGTCCCTTTTTCCTAAAGAAATATTTCGTAGATTCTGAGCAAGCGTGGAACCATCCATCGGCTGTTCTGTCTTCCAGGCAGTATCTTACAGAGAAATGAAGTAAAGAAGAAATAACGAAGTCGGAGGAAACATCAACAGCTCCAGATCAGGACAGATGAGAAGCAGACTGCAGCATGTCTGACATGAAGGAATAAAACTCGGAGATTTCTGAATTCTAGCCTCTCAATTTCCCTAAACTCCAAGCTTGATCCTCCTGGGAAAATCCTTCCGATTTATCTCTTCTGGGCCTCACTTTCAATATCTTTGAAAATAAAAGCTGTTCGTACCTTTCACTTGTAGTCTGTGGTGGATGGAGGAAAAGAAAAAGATAGTTGATCAAAGTGGGCTTTGGGTTCTTGTTGAATGGCCCAATAGTTACTATGTTTGTGGGACTTGAAATGTTAAAGGAAAAGTTACCTTTGAAAATAAAATGCAGGCTAGCTGGATCCTGAATCTGGCGGCATTTCCTAACCCCATTACTTGTTAAGACCCTAAAATTCACCTAAGACAACCAGTGGCATGATGGTTAGAAATATCTCTACACCAAGACTATTATTCTGGGCAAAGAAGTTTCATCCCCAAAAATAAGACTTATAATCAGAGTGTATTCAAGGTCCAGAGAAAAACTCATGAAAAAGTCTTTGAACAATGTATGTGTGGCCTCTAGACCATGAGAAAAGCTCATGGAAACATCATTCAGCCCTAGCTGTAAACTTCACACAACACCCTGTTTTCCCAGAGAGGACCTGACAAGACATGACTTATTGCAGTTACCTGCCTGGGGCATATACTGATCTAACACATTTCATGACCTGTTTCAAATACACCTAAGAAATAACTTCATATACTGTTCTTCTTTGGAATCTACACCCAATCTACTTCTTTTCTCCTCCACTAATTTTTTTTTTTTTAAGATTTTCTTTATGGGGGAGGCGGCAAAAGGAGAGAGAGAATATTCACGCAGACTCCACGTTTAGCAAGGAGCCAGACGTGGGTTTCAGGCTCTCAACCCTGAGATCATGATCTGAGCCGAAAACAAGGGTTGGGCTGTGGGGTACCTGGGTGGCTCAGTCAGTTAAGCAACTGGCTTCAGCTCAGGTCAGGATCCCAGGGTTCTGGGATCAAGCCCCACATTGGGCTTCCGGCTCAGCAGAGAGCTTGCTTCTCCCTCTCCATCTGCTGCTCTTCTTGCTTGTGCTCTCTCTCTGTGTCAAATAGAATCGTTTAAAAAAATAAAAAGAGGGATCCCTGGGTGGCGCAGCGGTTTAGCGCCTGCCTTTGGCCCAGGGCGCGATCCTGGAGACCCGGGATCGAGTCCCACATCGGGCTCCCGGTGCATGGAGCCTGCTTCTCCCTCTGCCTGTGTCTCTCCCTCCTCTCTCTCTGTGTGACTATCATAAATAAATAAAAATTTTAAAAAAAAGATTAAAAAAATAAAAAGAGTTGGATCTTAATTGATCCACCCAAGGTCCCTCCAGTAATATTTTTTAACCTAAAACAATTTATTGATCTTCCATACATGTACTTTTCTTCACATCCATGCAGAATACGTGTTAGAGAAAGAGAACAGAACTGAATACTTCTTTCCTAACTGCCCTTTGGAAAAGATGTAACTTGATTGAAAATCCACCTTGTGGGTAACCATGTAAGATTCTGGGGGGGTTTGACTAACTCATTGTAGGATATGTATTTCTCTAAATTTTAAGCTGGAAGTTTGCTTCCATTTTATGATAACTGGCTGGAATTTTTTTCCACTTAAAATTAATTCAGGAACAACAAAAAAAGATTAATTGAGGAAGCACCACCAAAAAGGCTTTGTTCTTTTTTTTTTTTTTTTTTTTTAAGGTATTTTCAGTCATGGACCAGAGGCACTGACACCTCAGAGACCATCATTACTCTCCACGACTTCCATCAATTTTCCAGTTCTCACCCATTATTTCTTTTGATCCTATTGACATAGACAAAAAAAAAAATTTCAGCTAAGGATCCAGAGATGATGCGGAAGGAAAAGTCAGGCTGACAAATTGAAGGGGTTAAGTGCGGCTCTTACAGCCTTGCAGTGTTGTGGCAAGAAGGGACAGGGAGCAGGAGGGAAGTATGACCCCCTCCCACCCCATTCAGGAACATTTCCTGAGAGAGGTGGAGTTTTAAAGACGTGGTGCTAATTCAGAAACACGTAATGCCAGCTTTTTCCTGCCTCCCTTTATCTGTCCAACCGCGAAACGAAATGAATTTTGCCATGCTAAAGACCACGTAGCTGGAGAGTGGCAGACCCAATTCATAAGTGTGGCTCAGCCACCTGCTTCCCTCTCCCAGACTCTCAGGGCAAGGGAATTTAAATTCTGTCGAGGCTCACCTCGAAAATGGGGAAATCGTTGGGTCTGTAGGGCTTTCCCCCACCTCTTGTCTCAGCCTCTCCCTGCTCCTCAGTAAATGCAGTGTGATGCATGTCACTGATTGAAAATGTCTAGAAATCAGACTCCAAAAAAATAAATAAATAAAAATAAAATAAATAATAAATAAATAAATAAAAATAAATAAATAAATAAAATAAAATAAAATAAAATAAAAATAAAAAAAAAAGAAATCAGACTCCAGTGGGAGAGCCCTGGAGTGAAGGGAGATAAGGGGTTCCTCCCACGAAGAAGAATCCGGCGACAAGGTTGCACAGAGCGCAGAGAGCTCTGGTTAGCTTTTGTTCGGATCTGCCTCCCTTCCCACAGTGTGTACACTTGTTTTCTTCCTGCCTGCCTGCCTGCCACCCCAGCCTTCTCCCTCATCCTTCTTTTTCTCTCTATGCTTACTTTCCTTTTCCCTTTTAACTCTGCCAGTGGCCCCCTGGAGAATTTACTAAGAGATTGTGGTCCTCAAGCCCGAGAAAATTTCCTAGCAAAAAATATAGTCTGGGGAGTGCCTGGCTGGTTTAGTCAGAGGAACGTGTAACTCTCCATCTCAGGGTTGTGAGTTCAAGCCCCACATTGGGGGTAATGTTTACTTCAAAAAAAAAAAAAGAATTAAGCTATGCTTCATAAAAAATATATATAAGTTTTAAGCATTAAGCTGGTGCTGAGCACTGCACTGGATACTTCAGGAGATGCAAAGATGACCCAAGATCAGTTTTCTCTCCTGAGAAGTTTTCTTTTTTCTTTTTTTTTTTTTAAGATTTTATTTATTTATTCAAGAGAGACAGAGACAGAGAGAGAGAGAGAGAGAGAGAGAGAGAGAGAGGCAGAGACACAGGCAGAGGGAGAAGCAGGCTCCATGCAGGGAGCCTGATGTGGGATTGGATCCTGAATCTCCAGGATCACGACCTGGGCTGAAGGCAGCACTAAACCGCTGATCCACCTGGGCTGCCCTGAGAAGTTTTCTAAAAGATGAAGGGCTAAAACCCACTCTGACATGGGAGAGGGTGTTAGTTAAATATTTAGTTAAATATCGGTGAGGACGGTGCTGGGGGAAGGGAAAGAGGGGAGAGGATCCTCTGGTTCCACAGAGCGCATAAGGCCTTGGAGGAGAGCAGAGGGGGTTTGGGATATTCCTGCTCCCCTGCCTTGAGCAGCTCTGACTTCAGGTCTCAGCTCCAGTGTCACCTGCTCTGCTTGGTGAACCCCACCGTCTCCATCATGACCAGCACTGACCCTGCTTGTGGCGTTCACCATGCTCACCTCCAGTTTCTTCTTCTGTCTTTTCCATCTGTCAGACTGAGGCCTTGAGAGGAGAGCCTACGTCGCAGTCCCCATCACAGCCCAGCTCCCAGGACAGTCCCTCACCAGGAGCTGCTCAGTAAGTGCTCAAGTGGCTAGATCAGCGAGGCCAAGAGGGGCACCCAGCACAGCTCAGAGGTGCAGATGGGAGGTGCAGGGGTGCCCAAAGCTTGAGCCTGCCCCCTTCGCCTCCTATCGCTTCATCCCCTCTGGCCTGTCACCTCTCCATCCAGCCAGTCAACATGTTCAGTCTCACCCATCCTAAGAAAAGTTTCCTCTTCAACCATCAGCCTATCCTATCCTTCACTTTATTTTTTAAAAAGATTTTATTTATTTATTCATGAGAGACACAGAGAGAGGCAGAGACACAGGCAGAGGGAGAAGCAGGCTCCCTGCAGGGAGCCCGATGCAGGACTCGATGCCAGGACTCCAGGATCACACCGTGAGCCAAAGACAGACGCCCAACCACTGAGCCACCCAGGCACCCCTGTCTTTCCCTTTAGTATCAAACTTCAAAAAATAATGTTTTTTCTTTGCTGCTTCCACTCAGCTCCCTCTCACTCTCCAGTCTCTAGAATCTGTCTGCTGTCCCCACGGGTGGCTCCCTCAGGCATCATCCCACCCACCCTCCCCTAGTCCTCCTCAAGCCCAGCTTAGACCTCCCGCTTCAGGTAAACATCCCCTGGCCTCCAAAGCAGGCTCGGATGTCCCTTCTCTGTCCCTTCCCCAAAATGCTGGCCTCCCTTGGCTTCTGTGATTTTCCCTCTCTGTTTTTGGTCTCTTTCTGGGCTTCTGTTTCACCAGCTCAGAAGAATAGGTCCTATCCTTGCCTTGGGCTTTTCTCCCTGGATTATGATTCCTCAATGAACTCCCCATGAGGGGCCTTATTCTCTCCAAGACTTTGTTCACTATCCAAATGTTAAAGCCCCAAACTTTTATTTCTTTTTTTTAAAAAAAAGATTTAATTTATTCATAGAGACAGAGAGGGAGGGGCAGGCTCCATACAGGAAGCCTGACGTGGGACTCGATCCCGGGTCTCCAGGATCACACCCCAGGCTGCAGGCGGCGCTAAACTGCTGTGCCACCGGGGCTGCCCCAAACTTTTATCTCTGACCCAGAATTCTCCCCTGACCTCTGGATCCCTATCTCCAATTTCCTAAAGGGTTTCTCCTCCTGGATGTCCTCATAACCCCTCCATCTCGGAACATACAACTTGAACTCATTACCTATACCTGCCACCTGAACCAAATCCTCCTTCCCACCTGCAGTCGGAAGCATCACCTGGGCACCTCTGTCATCTCTAGCAATGCCTTCCTTCTCATCCTCCAACACAACTGGTCACCATGATCTGTGTCTAATCTCCAGAATATCTCACACCCATCCCCTCTTCATGGCTGTCCCCAAGGCTCTCACTGTCTCTCACCAGGACTCTTGCAGTGGTCTTCTGCTTTCTTTCCCCAGATCCAGGCATCCCAGCCCATCTCCACAAGGAAGCTTTCAGAAACACGCACTTGACGGTGTCACTCGTCTGTTTTAGAGTGTTCAACAACTGATTTCTTGGCTGCTTCCAAGATAAAGTCCAAACTCTA